GGAAGGGGGGCGGGGGGGGGGGGGGGGGGGGGGGGGGGGGTAGCGTGGCGAAGACCCCTGTACGCCCCCCTCAGGGCAAAGTCTGATCTCGTGAATTTTTTCCACTTTTTTGACAAAATATAGAAAAAATAGGTATTTTTGTGAAAATATAGGACAAAAATAGGACTTTTTTGAAAATATAGGAATTATAGGAAATATAGGACGAATCGGAGCCCAGAGGGTGTGGGTAGGTGTGAGTGTGGGTGTTAATCATTAACACCCACACTCACACCTACCCACACTCACACCTACTCACACCCTCTCTCCTATCACCGAAATTTCAACATTGACATATATTTAATTGATTAGGACAACAACTTTATGAATGTAGATATATTCAAAAATTAAATACGAACAATTTTGATGTAGATGAAGAATTGACACAAAAACATCATATCATACGGATAATTTATTTTCATCTCTCAATAGTTGTTACGATGATGTCCCAAAGCATTTGTCTCATCATGAGGAAACGGAACACAATCGCGTCAATTCAATGTCTTTTTAGAAGTCAATTGAAAATCCGATGTGTGATCTAAACGTTGTTTTGGGAAATATTTTTACCATAATCATTGATGGATGAAAAATCAAATCCTATTTGCTGTCTACATAAAACTGACTTTTGTTCAGTCGATTTTTCAAAAAAGTCAACTAAAAATGAAATTCTTTACATAAAAACTATAATAGTACAGTTTGCCGTGTAGATTTAGTTCTACAAGCTGATATATTAACAAAGATTCTAGATTTAAGCTTCAGTCATCAATAATGAAAACAAAATAATTCTTCTCCAACAAAAATTTTTTTTAGACCTTTCAAAGATTTCTTCACTACTGTCGAACGAAAGAAGGCGCAATAACAATTCTTAGTTTATATTTGGAACAAGCACAACATTTTGAAACTCACTCATCGTTTTTTAACGCATCGAAATTGACTAGTCATATTATCTCAAAACTTTTGATCCAGCTTTGGTTTTCAGATAACCTCTATGTTCTTATATGAGATGTACCAACTAAGAAAATATCTTGTAAGTTAACACGAGTTTCTAAAAGTTTCCTGCAAATGCATACTTTTCAAGTTTCATATTTGATAATTTTGATAATCAATTATATTTCTAATATTAATCATATACGTATTTATTTATATACATCGTCAATCGAAAATTCCAGTCTATGTATATTTTAATATATTAATGTGCACACACAAAAAAAAATAATCTCTGTTAATAATGTCTGCCATGATAATGAAAAACAAAAACAAGATAATCGAAATAAAAGAGAATAAACAAACAAAAACATATGCATATCTATAAATTGAGAAATAAAAAACAACACACAAGTACATTTTTTATAAAAATGACCACATAAAACAAACAAATTTAAACAGTTGCTTCTTCACTTATATGAATACCAGCTGTTTGTGGTGTATAAATATGACGTTGGGTAGATATAAGGGGCCATATTTGAGACTAAATTGTAGATAAAAAAGCTGTTAGTACAATACTTTCCAAATAAAAATGTGAAACACGATCTAGCAGGTGTTACTAATTATAGGCAAATTATTTTATTCTATCGATTTTGAGGCACATTTCTTCGCCATACTTTTACTTAATCTTTCAGAAATGTAATTAGCATGTAATTCATATATAGGACACAATGTTAACATATCGTGTGTAACGTATCTATCAATTAGGTTTGTCATGATCAATGCGAAAGAGAATGCAAACTTCTATCCTATATACTTCAATACTCCTTTTAGATCGTGTTTCACAAAATGATTGATTAAGACATATTATCAACAAAACATACTGGATGAGATTTTTCACGAATTTGTTGTCGATAAGCTAAATAAACGAACAATAAAAAATGTAAAATTAAAAGAAAAAAAAGTTTATTTACCATCTTGATCATCACTATCATATGGCATACGAGCTGTATCAGCTGATGACATACTATCCTACAAAGCAAAACAAAAAGGACAGAAGTTTTTTTTTTCGTTTGTAGAAATTTGTAATCAAAATAATATTTTTACCAATCCTTCATCTGATTCATCAGCATAATAAACTTGTTTTGAATGTAAAGAATAATGCTGCATGACTGAACTTGTTATATCTCCACTACTATTTAAACTATCATCACTTCGACCATTCATATATCTAAATTAATTAAAATAAAATAACATTTATATTAACGTAAGAATTAAAAAGAAACTCATACCGATTTGTCAGATCATTTTCATGAGGAAAATCTTGACTATAAAATAATAGAAGATAATAAAAAAAAATCATTTTAATATTTATATTAATTTGTTTTGACTTACTCAGGTGATGAGCCTGTAATTGATAAACGTTGATGATTTTCGGCACTATCCATTGATTTTCCTAATCGTAATAATTTTTTATTTGGTTTTATTTTAATTTGATCAGATTTTATTGATTGACGAGGACCATCAGGTGTACTATTACTTCTCGTAAAAATTTTTTTCATTGATGATAAATAACGTTTTCGTGTTGAATTTGATAATAATGATAAACGACGATGACTAGAACGTTTTCGTTCATCACATAATATTTCATAATTTTTATCCGATAAATTTTCACATAAAGTTTTTAAATATGAACAACGTGTACGTTCTTGTAATAAAGAAAATGTTCGACAACGATATGCAGCATATTCAGCATTGATTAATTTTGATAATATAAATGGTTTTAATTGTTCGGCTGTACGAACATAAACAATATTTTTTGGAAGATGAGGAGGAAAGTTTTCAATGTCATCACGAGCAATAAGCATTATCTAAATAAAAATATAATTCTTTTCAATTTATTATACATATTTGTTTGATTTAGAAGTTTTATTTAGTAAAACAATGAATTTTAGTAGTAAAAATTCATCAAAAGTAATGCATTAAAGTTTTCAATTATCAAATATGATTACAATAAAACTTGTATAAAGAATTATTTCTCTGATTTTGCTTACGCAGGACGTTCTGCAACTGATAAATTGCTTTTCAGTCAAGATTATGTACATTATTTAGATTCAAAGTGGCTATGAATTAGAGGTCTCAATCAGTCCGTTCAAAGGTCAATAACCCATGTTCCGACGTTCTTCAACTCAGCTCCATTCATTGAGATCCCCGCTGTGATTATCTTGAAAAGAGTTTATGCCCTTTCGTTTATTTCTATGGAGACACTGAACTGTAACGATATCTCTTTTAAAATGAGTGTCGTAGTTCGTCTCGGGAACACTAAAAAAAAACTAAATTACGAATATTGTCTGGAAACTTTGCGTAGAGACAGAGCTTATCAAGAGTAGTTTTAGATTTCTTGGTTTACTTCTATCCTGAAATAAGGCCATAAAATCTGCCGGTTTATATAACCAATATAAAAGACGTCCTATTATCCTAGCTCCATCTTAGAATTGGAACAGCAACAAGATCTGAAAAATTCACACAAAAAAAAATTATTTTCATTCAGGGCTGTCTCTATGCAAAGTTTCAAGTAGAAATTCAAAAAACTGTTTTTTTTTGTGGTGTTCGTGAGGAAGACCACGGCATTCATTTTGAAAAATATCGTAAAAGTACAGTATCTCTGAAGCAATAACCTACGAGCACGAACTCTTTTCACGATATTCGAAACTCATTTGGCTCTACATGATGCACATAGTCTCGACACCAAAAATGATTCATCAGTTTTCACTCGAAAATTAAACTTTACTCGTAGCTAACATAGAATATCGAATTATGTCTCCTAGTTCGAAATATTCAGATTTTTCAATGCAAAAAAATCGCTTATAATATACTTGTAAGTAACAAAACAAAGTTACATTTTGAAAGACTATTAAAAATCTCATAATTACATAGCTAACGTACTTTTTCTTAGGATAAATGACTCTCGCAGTGTTTTGACATCGTTCATTGATATAACACATTCTCTTTGAAATAATTTTGCTTCTGTATTATTAAATTGTTCCGTCTAGAGAAAACTACCAATTATGGTCTGAAAAAAATGTCCTTTTACTATAATTTCTTCATCGACCAGCATAAAGAATGGCAATACAATCGGTAATGAATTAGTTCTTCAAAATAAAATACATTAAGGTCACTGCCTGCCGTGTCAAAAAAAGAGTCAATTCTTCGTCAGAAAAATTGAAATTGCTATAAATATATGAGAAGATAACCCAAGATGTTTTATTTTTTTTCTTCATTTAAAAGAGCATATCAAAATGTCAGGCATCACAAAGTTAGTATTAGATTAAAGAATATTCTTATAATCAGAATGCCATGTTTTGAGAGTTTTTCTGGACATTGAAATTTTTTGCCGGTAAAAAGTCAGAATTAAGTATATAGAATAAATGCTCATAGAGACTTTTGAGTCACGATATAAAGCTGAAAATCTTACGATTTGAATGTACATGGTTCAAGATCGGTTATGATTGAAGTGCTTCTGCTTATGGAAAAAAAAAACATTTATACCGATCTATGTCTATAAGTACTTAACCTCTATACTAGATCTTCCAATCCTAATATATTTCAATTTGTAAATTATAACTTACTTTATAACATGGCCTTGAAAGTATTTGTGCAGGTTGTACAACAAGAAATACATGTAAAAAATTTGATTTAATCATACTTGGATGAAATGGTGTATTTTCTTCTTGAAAAATAATTGCAACAATATCATTTCCAATATGACGTTTACGTTGAATTTGTATTGTATCATTATGTGTATATGGTAATAATGTACTAACATGAAACATTATTTCTTTTTGATCATAACATTCATAATAAGATATTGGTGAATCAGTTTGTTCACTTATATCAAGACCACCTCGATAACTAAAATAATCATAAAAAAAAAGAAACTGGAACACTTATATCATCAGATAGATACAAAAATTCTTAAATCTATGTCCAGATATCGTCATTATCTAATGATCTAATAGTTTCGATTTTACATGATATTTTGGGAATCGAACCGGAATCGTTGAACTCTAATTATAACTCTCGAGACTCCAGATAATTTCAGTTTTTTATCCAAACTTCGTAGATTCTATTAAGTTAGTCTTAGTTATATAAAAAATGCCTCCCAAGACGTAAAACACTCATGATTAAAAATAATCTCTAGAGATTATTTTCATTTTTTTTTGTCGATGTCTGAACTCATGATCATTATGTACTCTGTAATCACCACGTTTTTTTTTCTTCTGGAAACAGATATTTGAACATCATCACAAATAAATAGATTCATATTTCATGATATAATATGAGTGTGTAAGTCTTCTCTTCAGTAACTATTTAATTTATGTATTATAACGAGATTTCATTCATATACGATGTGTAGGAAAGAAATGACTTCATGCTTTTTACTCCTATACTTCAATATTTGTTGTCAAAAAACCATTAAAATTCATTTTTAAATTAGAAAAATAATCACCCTTTAAAATTTTTTAATGAAACTTTTGTTGCAATTATATCAAGAAATTCTTCAAAAGAACGATGATGATTTTGATTATTAAAAAATTCTTCTTCAGTTGTCTAAAATATACAAAAACAAACATTCTTTTATATATATATATATAAAGAGAGAAAATTTTACTTGTCCTCTTCGTTGATAAATAACTCCAAATTTAAATTTTTGTGTTTCTAATTTTTCATCATATGATTTAATACATCCGTGTGCTTTTAAATTTGTACAATTTTCAAAGGAATCAATATTTAAATTTGGATAAACTTGTTTTGATAATTTAACATAATCTGTTGAATTTGTTGTATTTTCAATAAAATTCATACATTTTGAACCTTCTTTTGTACGTATAATAACTTTCAATTGTTCATCATGAGGTTTTACTGACATAACAATTGGATTAAGATTATTATCAATTGCATATAAATTAACATGATACTAAATTACAATATATTATATTAAAAGAAAAAACAAGAAAAGAAATGTATTTAATTAAATTTTAATTTTACTTGTTCATAAAAATCATTTGAATAAATTGAAGCAATATTATCTGATGTTAAATAACAATCAATCGGAAGAATTTTTGTTTGAAAATTCCATTGTGATGGTTCACCATAACCACCTTCGACACGATAATGATCAGTACCATATAACATCTCATTAGATGGTAAACGATAAATCATTGGAAAAACACCACCGGGTGATGAAGTTAACATCTATATAATTTATAAAGCATGATTTTATCCAAAAAAAAAATCATCAAGAATAAATAGAAAACAAAAAAGACAACATACTTCTTTTACATAATATTGAACTGCTCGTTCGATTTGTTCATTATTACGAGATTGTAATTCATTACTTTCATTATCTGGTACCGAGTATGTTGAACGTGTTGAAACTCTGTAACCTAACGAATCCTAAAATCAAAAGAAAATTTTTGTCGCAAGATTCTTATAGATTATCATTAAATATTAACTTAACGATATATATATATATATATGAAATTCTAGATTAGATAAATAGGCATAAAGTCACTATTGACCGGCGACAATCTGTCATTTTTGATCGTGTAACATTAACATCTCTATTGTTTTTCTATTAGTTAGTTATATAACTTTTATTCATTGTTCATTGATGGCATGCACCATCTGTTTTATTCTATAGATAAGAATGCCATTTTTTCTCTTCAATTTTCTTATTAACATTTTCTTTGCTCATTCGATTTATCGTTACATTTAATCTTACACTTGTCATGGTTACTTAAAAAACAAAATATTCTGCGATAGTATTTAACAATTTACTTGAATAGTATTACTAAAGATCATACATAATTATAATGAACTTTTTAGATTATAACATATGTTAAAAGGTCAAAGTACTTTTGACATAAACTCTATTTCATATCTTTTCTCTCTCTCGACATATGTACATAAGATAAAAACAAAAAGTATGCAAGAGGAAAACTTGTGTATTTTCACACATAACAATCTGATTGCATCTTAACACATGTGAATATACATTCAATTAATATTAAAATTAAATTATTTAAAAAAAGAATTCGTCTACCTGTCGGTTTTGTAATGAAACTTGACTATTATTTTTACTACCAAGATTCAATGATAAGCGATTCGGTTTTTCTGGCTTAACGTATTGTCTGTTTAGCTGTTGATTTGTTGAATATCTGACATGAGATGACATATCATCAAATTTTGGTAGAGTAAAATGATTTCGTTTGAAATCCATTGGTAAATCCAGTGAAAAACTCCGTGATAATTGTTGTTGAATATTTTCTGTATTCCCAAGAAACCTATATAAAAGGTAAATCTTAAATTTTATATTCATAATCAATATCGAGTAATTATATATCGCATGAATAGAAGTAGGTGGAGTAAGTAAAAGAGGGTTAGAAGAAAGAGAGAGAGAGAGAGAGAGAAGAAAAAAAACGCCAGTTGGTGACGAAGAAAAAAAAACATACTTTGGAAGATTGAGTGACATATTTGAACTAAAATATAGAAAAAAAAAATCAATAACAAGAAAGAAAAAAAAACGCGAAAAGTAAGTAAACTTACATTGTTGCTATACCATAAGGTCTATGTTCGGGATTGTAATAATATTGCCCATCACGTTGATGACATGAAAAAAGTGTATCAGCACAAATATGTTCTCCACGATAATCTCGACTATAAAAAAAATAAAATCGTAAAATCAATTAAGTTTTCTTCTTTTTTTTTTTTTTCTACTGTAAATATTTTTCATACCCATATAAATAATCATTGTTATACAATTCTTTAGTTGTTAAATGTGTAGTTGCTAATGAATCAGATTTTTCAAGAAATGGACTGTCATGTTGAATAACTGTTGTAGTATCATCTTCTATATTATGTCGATAAAAATCTAAATTATTTTCTTTCATATTCAATGTATCTTCTTGATGATTATTCATTGATAATGATGATTTATTTTCTTCCTCATTCCATCCATTAAACATATCGTAAATTTTCGCACACCAAGTCATTTTATTTAAAAAAAATTGATTACATCTATATACACAAAAAAAATTTGCAAGACATTTATTGTAACAGCAGGAGAGAGAAGTCCGTACTCTCTCATACAAGGCCATACAATTCAACTATTATAACTTTATACATTATAGCTTTCTCTTCTTTTCTTCAGTACTCTTTGCCTTATGTTTATTAAAAAAAAGAAGGGAGAATAAAACGACAATGACTTATTGTCCCGTATTTCTGTCTGCAAAGCGTGAAGGTCATCATCATATATATGTACTATTGATTTAGATGAATGAATTGTTTCTCTTAAAATTTTATTCATTAGATTAATGTAAACAAATGCATACATGTACAATCTTATATTCACTATACAAAACATAACAACATTCTTTATTTCTCTATGATATTTACTCGATTATAAACATAATATGTTCAATACAAATAGACTTTTCGTGTTGAAAAGATCAAGTTAACAATAGAAAAGAGAGAGAATATTCAACATATTTTGTTAGATGAGATTGTGCAAATGAATAAAACAACAGGTAAACAAAACCTTCAAGAATATATTTATCATCGATAAAAGAAAATAACTATGATGACAACTTTTGATTCTATTCATCATATCATGACTATAAAATATGTAATGCATACATCACTATAACTATTATTCTCAGACGAATATTTATGACCCTTTTGCCCTTTGTAAATATAGATTTCAACCACTTCTCTCCCTCTTTACAGTTACATCTTATCCGATTTTCTCGGTTCTTAAACACGAATGAAACACTTAATATTATACACATATTAGATGGAAATGGAAATTTAATTTCAATTTATACTTACAGTACCATCAGCGTATGCATGAACTAATCTTTTCAATACATTAAGATAAAAGAGAGAATAACATTTGTATCGATAATTTCTAACACAAAATCATTTTGAAACTCACTAATCTCTGTTTAGAAAGTATTGTTCTCATTGTCTCTGTGAGTATTAAAACGTTGATCGAGGATGATGATGATGACTGGCAATCCTATACAGTTACACAATCATATTCATTCATACAACCGTAAGAAAATGACGAAGAGGAGCAAACAATACATATGCTGACCTCCACATCATGCAATTGATTTCTCAAAGGAGAAAAAAAATGAGAGAAAAAAAAAACGGAAACAAGTTGTCGCAAGAGAAGAAGAAAAAAAAAAAAGAAGAATTGGGTCAGTCAATATATATAAGAAAAAGAAACGACGAAGAAATAAAAAAAAATAATACGCTTTCGATTGAGATGAATTTTTCTTTTTTTATCGATTGTATAGATCAAGGTTGACAAACTTCATTATTTTGCGGTTTTATAATATCTTTTCACTATGGTCTTAGCAGAGTTCCGATGTAAATGTTATTTTTGTAATACGAACAAGTGACATTTTCGTCCTTTTTCTATTTTTTTTTCTTTTCAAGAACTTCTATTGTTTTTGTATGTGCTTTTTTTTTCTATATTAACGGCGTCAGAAAAAAAAAACATCACATAAATTCGGCTTTCGAATTACTAACCAATTCATAAGTGGAGGGAAGAAAAACAAACGTCGTCTCCGTTGATTTCATCCTGATAAATATTATACTTTCCTTTCGATTATGACAAGTAATTAATATTAATAATATTCATCGAAAACGATATGTATTTACATACGGTGATTATGTAAAAATGTTTTTAAACGGCAATTGAAGACGTATGCTTGATTGACCATTGATATATGGTCAACATTTTTTTTTTCTGTCTCTCTCTTTCTGTCACCTTTATTTTGTCAATAGACATAGACATAGACAAGCAATTGTGTGTGATAATTGGTCTATCAAATAGGGACTACATTTTCCTATTCATTAGATGAAAGTAATGGTGAATAAAAACAATAATACTACATCGTTCGACGAGACAAATTTTGGGTGGTAGTGATGATGATGATGTGTCAACATAAATAATGCGTAAAAAGAGAAAAAAAACAACCAAAAAAGAAACTGTATGAATAAATAAAGTTGCGAAAAAAACAGAAGAAGAAGAAGAAAAAAAATACATGAAATAGCAATAATAACAAAACAAGATGAATTTTAACGATGCCGATAACGAAATGCAACTGTTTTCTTTTAACGATTTTCAAGTAGTTTTAAGTGAAGAGTTGGCGCACTTTCAATAGAACAAATACATCCGACAAATAAAACTATTTCATGTTTTTGCACGTTTCGTTTTTATTGTTACTCTTTTTTTTTCTTCTGTTTAAGAGTAAAAGAAAGAAAGAAAGTAAAAAATGAAGATCAGTATGTAAAAATACAATCTAAAAATTTCGATATCAAAAAGATTATATTTATTCGCATAGATTCATATATCGATGTACAATCTATTTATAAATGAAATTTAGAGACTAAATTAGATATTGAAAACTTGATTCCGATTTTTAATATTATGAGAAATTGATATCGACTGTGTAAATAGTTTGCCATATATTGATACAGCAAGTCATGACTACGGCCTACGCCAGAAATGAAGAGTGGTGAGTGCAAATTCGACAACAAAGAAAATTACAACGATAATTTTCGCAAAAAATTCATGAAAATAATGTTCTTTTTCGATGTAATTTTGATTTAGACACATACTTCTGATAGAAGGACTTCAAATCTATAGTTCAAGACATGACTCAAGTGGTTATTTTCTTAACGCTCAATGTTGAACAAACAAAATCATGTATCTATCCAATGAAATAATATAAAAATTCTTTTGTTTTTTAGCAAAATTTTGTGCGTTTCAATCAAAATTTCCTTAAAATGAAACATCGTCTTCAAAAATTTTTTTGCGAAGAAGATGACTTTTAAAATAATTTTGTCTTACATGGTATCAAACAAAAAGACGTCCGTAATTCTCTTCCTCAAATTTCTTAAAATCCTAGATCGTTAGCTGTTGCTGTTGTCAACTTATTAAAACTACTCCCAACCTTCGTTGATTCTGGTTTGGACAGTAGTAGCGTAACCAGACACGGGCCCAGTTCATAGCCTCCTCTACAAATAATTAACTTTTACTTAAAAAGGAACTGCAGTTCAATCTAGAAGCGTTACTGAAAGGTTCTCCACGCTCTCTACAGCATAATCAAGAGACTATGCCCACTCCTATAACTATTGTTCTTCGCCGAAATTTAGTGGTTTGCATTTTCATGACCACAAATCATATCGGAGATATTCTGTAATGATACCTGCGGTATTTATATATATATAGAATTAATATTCAGAAAGAGTGAATGTAAAAAGTGATCGTTGAAACGAAACGCACGAATATTAATGATCGAAAGGTATTCGACGATAAAGTACACAATCTTTTGTTATGTTTATGTTATTAATCATAATTAAAGAGTATGCATATTTTTTTTTTGTTACCAAAATATCTTATTAATACAATAACAGATTGTAGAAGAAATATTATTCATACTTTTACAAAAGTAGATGAGACAACTTAATTACACAAAATATAATACAAAAAAAAAAAGTAGGAACAGAGAGAATGTAAGCATGAGTGGGAGTCGATGAAGAGAAGACTTACATGCGTACTCACACTCTTGTTTATAAGTGTTCTGAGTTAATGGAATCATTTCGATTAGATGAGATCACTTTTATTATTTAACATTGTATTATTATTGAATTAACCTTTGAAATAATTACATTCTATGCCACAAATACATCATATATTACTCATAAACACAAGCTCTCTAATCACACTAAATCATTTAGTAATCAAAAGATAGTTTTACTATTACTAAAATATTCGATCCTAATAGAATAGTTATCCATTGGGGTTAAGCTATTTTATATTTATGTTATGTTCTTTAATACTGACGATTGATGATGATGGATAATGAGTAGACGAATGTCGAAAATAACATCTGATAGTCTAAAATAAATATATGTTTGCAGTTTTATTTTACTACATAATTGAATCGTTATAATAATTATTGGTTGAGTATTCGTCTTGTTATTTTAATTAAAAATGACTTTCATACTTATTCTTTCATTAATGATATTGCTTTTTTCTTTTTATCATTAAAATCAAAGAAGAAAAAGAAAACTCGAATCTGATTGCGTTTATGCGTGCGCATGAATATATATATATATATAGTTGATTGTTCTCATCAACTTCAAACTTATTGTATCACATTACAGACCAACGTAATATGCAAATAGAAAAAAAAAAGAAGTTAATTGAACATATAATAAAATATCTCAAAGGTTATCATTCAATTGGATGTACCAATGCTTTTACTGTTGACATATCATATGTTATTGATACGACTATTGTCTTAGCATGATATGGAATAGTACTTGTTTTAGACATTGTAATATGATCATCATCAAACAGAACAAATGGACGAAATTATTCTTATGTTTATTGGTTTAGATCAAATTTTTTTTTTTTTACATGTTAATAAATTTTGAAGTTAAGAAAAAAAAAATTCATCATTAGAGAGTATAATTTATGAATATATGTTAAACATAATTTTTTTCATGTTTTAATTTATATTATTTTGCTTCAATTTAAATTTATCTTTTTCATAGTAAAGGAAATAAAAGTTGAAGGTGACCTTGAAAAGTAAGAGTCATGTTGATAGAAATCCAATTAAAATAGTGCGAATATATACATAGAAAAACTGATTAACCACAGCTTGCCAACATAAAATATCTTCTTTTTTTTTTTTTCAAATTCAAAATTTACAAATTGCATAGTGTTGTCACCACATGAGAGCTAGAAGTTCAGCCACTTCTTCTCGTTAATGATTGAGTTGCACTTAAAAAGAGACTTGAGCTCTGTCTAGAAGCGTTACCGGAAAACTTCCGCTCACTCTACACACATGGTCACGATAACAAGGTCCTCTTCGTCTGCAAATTTTTTCTTGTTGCGTCATTATTTCTTTTGTTCATGCAATGAACAATTGTTACATTAGAATAGAAAGAATAATTCATTCATGAATAAAGGAAACTCATTTAGGTTTTGTTTTACCGGCTTGTAGAATGACTATATATCCGATATAGAGAAACACTTTTTGCCGAGACATAAAATGTATCATCAAGGTCTTTTTACAATATATATTTGTATGAACATATGAGTCAGTTTTCCTGTATATGAGCATGAATCTATTCGAATAGAAAACCATTCCTTTTTTTCTATTCGGTATATATATTTCTTCGAACAAACAAAAATCAAACTATAGTTTCTTTTTTTTCTTCAAATTCAAGGTTATTTTGATGATTTAAAGGTGATGAATATTATTCTATGTCTCTCAGCAAATGTTTGTAGATCGTAAGTGCTTTCAGATAATCACTCAACGGATTGTACATTGAATCAATTTCAGTGAAAAGAAAGAACTAAGTTAGAAATGGCTCAGACGAAGAGTTTTTGAAAAAATTTCCAATGCTAACTTTTATGAGATTAAATCATTCATTTATTTTATCATGCACCAAATCAATATTACCATATGAAGCAGTCAAACATGTGTCAACTGGAGAAAGATTCTTCCAATTGATTTTTTATTAGTATATAGTTACTTGTGTATATTCCTCTTGATTTGTTTACCATCATCTTAATCATATGACAAATATGTGCTCTTTCACGATCACTTATTGCTTCATCAAGCAGGACATTATACACTTTTTTAGGCTTGTTTAAATTATCCAAATTTAATCAACAACATATCGAATCGATCTCATTCATTCGTATGGGGATATGTTTCTTTTCTCGTCAACTCATTTAGAGCATAAAGTTTTGTAGTGTTGTCATTCATTAGTGTCAAGTGTACTCTACAGAGACGATAATTGTAAGTTTTCATTTGGCCAATATGAAATGCATGAAGAAAAAAATCGTCGTCACAGATATTGACGAAAGTTGTAGAGGATATGTACAAATCAACTTGTATTATCAAGAGAATGCTGATTAGATCAGATGTTGCACCCATTTCACAAACAAAATTGAGAGACATTTGACGATCTATGTTAGTTTTATAAAAGAATAGGAAAAAATACTAATTCATCTTTTGTCTTAACTAAGTAGTCGATGTCTACTTGAGACACACTAAATCGATAAATATCTTTTCTACTATAGATTTATTGTTTAAAGAGAATTAAATTTATATATAATTGTATATTTAGATTTTAGCGAGATACGTTTTCATTGAAGATATCAAGATCATGAGTTTATATTATTGTAATCCATGCTAAGATGCCCTATTTTGATATAGGTAGCAATAATTTATCAACAAATTTAATCCGTTATATAAATTTCTGAGTGAAATTCTATATTTTTGTGTAGACATGTCACAAATTCTATTTCCGCTTCAAATTTTTTTTTGTCTAGTTTTATAAGCTTTGTTCAAGCTCAAATTCCAAAGCATGATCTTAGTCACTTTCACTTCGTTGAAATCTGGTTTATTTAGATCTTACTAGACTCAAACAAATTGCGTTTAATGCAAAAATTTTATAAACAATAAAAACGACTAATAGGTATTACTAGATGAAAGTGTGAATGTAAAGAGAGTGAGCCTGAAGTCCTGATTAGTTTTATAAAAGAACTACTTTTACATTACTAAACATTCTTGCTGAACTATCATTATAAGGGAAAAGAACATTAAGAAAAAAAAACATTCTCTTCAAAATTGATCCCTCGAGCTCATTAGATAACATTAATATTTTAATTATTAACAATAAATTGCCGGACTCGATGTAATTTGAGCAATGAATTTATATTATGAAACGACTTTGAAAATATTTTATAATTAGTTTGATATCTAAATAGGTCGACAATTTTGATAGAATCATTGTTGTACATTCATTTTGTCTTTGAAAAGAAAAAATCCTACCTGGAAAATAATTGACCTTGTCGATGAATGACACACTTATGTCGAGAATCATTAATACAAAAAATAATTTAAATATTAAAAAGAACAATTAATGAAAGGTCAATTAAAGACATGGTCCATTAAGAACTATCAGAAAAAAAACGATTTTCAAAAGTAGTTAAAAAATAAATGAATACAATATTTTTAGAAAGAGTCAAAGTGACTTTTTAATTGCAGCGTTGTTTATTTGAGTGCTTGTATCACACTTACATAAGACGGCAGACCTCATGATAATGAAATTTATTTTTTGGAAGTTTATTCGTGAAAAAGAGTTATCACTAAGACATTACGGTAACGCACTCAACATTGTTTTCAGACTTACTAAAAAAGTATAGAGTTTCGACAGTTTTAATATCGAAAGAACGTGACTCATTAACGTCAAGCTGTAGCTTAATCTTTAATGATACTATTATTATGATATAGTAGTTCGATACTAGAATTGGTCTTTTTTTTTTTGAATTATAAATAGAATTGGTGTCACTCAATCAATTAGCATGTAACGATGAAGATAGTGAATGCATGATAAAACTATGGTGATCTTATATTCCTTTTGACTTTTTTGGTTTTCGAACAAGAAAATCTAACTCGAAAATTTCAATAAATCTCCTACATATTCGGATTCTTGGAGTCCGAAAATCTTTACTGCATTTTCATAGAATTCAGCTATTTTCTTGAAATGCTCTTCGCTACTGAACAGATCGAAATCAATCCAAATCCATCATAGTTTTATCATGCGTTTACTGTTAATCTAAACGTACATATTCAGATCAGTGAAAAGTTGTACATAAAATCGCTGCCATCGGTGAACGATGCTTCATCTTCGTTGAATTCTTATTAGAAGTCTACGGGATCAAGATCACAACTCAAGTTTATAGTAAAATACTCTATGATGTTAAACAAATTATCTTATAAATCAGGAGAGATGGTCCTAATTAAATGCTAGTCATTGACTAAATCAAATAAGAAAATGAGTGTTGAAAAATTATTTTATATTTACTACGATTGAATTCTGGAATAGTTTTCTCTAGATCAGGAGTATTTTGATCATCTATTCATATGTCTATACAACAAAAAGAACTTCATGAATAGCTTCAGTTATAATCCATTTTCTTATCAAAACTTAAAATAAGTGTTAGGAAAAAAAAGAAACAGAATAAAATAAAAGGTTACGCAGAATAAAAATACGGCAATGGTAACAGTAAATAAAAAAAAAAAAAAGAAGGAAATATTAAATGATAACATCACAATTAATCTTGTTCTTTCATTTGTTGAATTTCAAATAATTTAACATCAGTATCATACCATATAGGAGGATCAATATTCCTACATAAATTAAAATGAAAGTTTTTTTTTTCGTTATTTTTCATTTACCTGAGATAAATAACACCCCACATATAAGTACGAAACCACATAATTGTACTAGAATTTGGTTGATATTTTCGAATTAAAATCGGATGTGGTACTGGTAAAAGACCAACAAGTGTACCATGTTGAAGAAATTTAATTATTTCACTTTCATCTGTTAAACCACGATCCATACAAATTTTTTCAACTTGTGGTACAAGTACTTGAAGAAGACGAAGTATTGTTTGTAATGGTAATTTTCCTTTCCATGATTGTATCCATGCAGATGTTGGTGACCAAGTACCATTATCTAATGAATGAATTGGATTTGAACTAGAACCAACATGTGATAATGTAGGTGAAGTAGACTTAATGAAAATATTACATGTAATAGATAGTTTAGAAGAAAGAAAAAAAAAAAACTTCTATGTTACTTGAGTTAAACTTGGAGATATTTCACTGTTTGTATCAGATCTTTGACGTTGACTACTATTTAAACTTGGCGAAGCAGCTAATGTACGTTCTGTCATTTTATGAATTGCTATGAGAAGACAATACGATTATATAATGTAGAGAAATTGAAAATATTATTCTATAATGTTGAAACAATCATTTAGAATAATACAAGTAGAAATATATTTAAAATAAATCGAAAATGAAATATAAGTAAGATACTTTGAAAATAAATTTTTGCAAAAAGTACAATGAATATAAAATGTTTTGCTAAAAATTTTTAGATTATTGTTTTGAAGATTCGGAAATGAAATATTATCACAAAATAAAAAAAAACGGTTTATTGGATTAAAATTCGAAAAAGATCAAGCTCGAATCTTAATCAAAATTGAGTCTTTTGATAAAATTCCGTAGATCAGATTGAAACTTAAAAATATTTTTCTGAAACACAATCTGTTGAAATATAGAATTAGAAATCTGAATCTCTTCATAGATCGTGACAGATACTTTCGCAATATCCATGTTCAGTGAAGCCTATGGTAGGCTTACGAGATAATCTCTTCAGATACGTCCTTTCGATTTCAATGATTTTTTTGCATATAGATCCTATATAGTGTTCTGACAAAAACACTAAAGAGATTTCGGTTATTATTGAGATTTGATTTAGTTATCAAATTTCAATAAGAACTCAAATTCGTTTACGAATTCTGTTAGAACACTATCTACCATTGATTGGTAAAAAGGTCGTTAAAATCAGAAGGAGATAGATATTACAGGAATTTATTTTTTTTAAGGATTTATTGAATTTAAATGGGTTTATTATATTGATAGTATGCAATACAATTTAACTGTATAAAGATAAAGTCATAGTTCTAAAGAGTTAGTTTTCACTCTCAACAAGTTACCTAATTTTAGGCTAGTTTCTTTCGTTTGATGATCAGATACATAACGAAACTTAAAGAAGCATCTCGGAAGCTGCGGCAATTTTCAGTGATACCGAAATACATTATTTTTAGTATTTCTAATCTGGCAGAGTATATGTATAGCACAGAGAGCTGATAATTTCAGAGCTCTGCACAGGCCATGTTTTTCAGGCCTGTGCGGCCTGGTAAGTTTTCAAACAAATACGATCATGATAAAATACTACAAACAAGTTGTGCAAATAGGACACTAAGCCTACTGCTCAACCCGAGCCTGGTCTTCCTGTCATAGGCAACACCCGAGATTTTCAGGTCCATGAAAGTCACAGGTTCAAGCAGTTTTGGGCCTGTGACTTTCATGGGTCTGAAAATCCCGGGTGTTGCCTATGACAGGAAGGCCAGGCTCGGGCTGAGCAGTAGGCTTAGTACCCTATTTGAACAACTCGTTTGTAGTATTCTATCATGATCGTATTTGCTTGAAAAACTTACCAGGTCGCACAGGCCTGAAAAGCATGGCCTGTGCAGGGCTCTGATAGATTTCTGCAAAAATCGCAAGTCTGTATGTTGAAATCATTTTGAGATATTAGATAAAATAAAACAATCAGTTAGGTGTATGATGAATTTTAAGCGCTACTCTTTGCATATCAATCATGTTTCACATTTTAAACTTACAGGGATCGAGCTAACAGCTTGTAAACTCTATTTAAATTTAACAAGATTCAATGAATCAATTAAGTTGAGAAAATATTTGACTCAACTAGCTTTAATCTTTATTCTTACATGGTGTTTCTGCTAAACTTGTTACAATTGGATTATTCGTTATTCCTGATGCTGATTGTTGTATATTTTCTGTATTTAATGTTGATTCATCATCTGTATTTGGTTTTGAATTTGTTTGAAAAATAGTTTGTTTTATTTCTGATTTATCTGGACTTGATGTTAATGACGAAATTGAAGCAGAAAATTTTGTACTAAATTTAGCTATTGTTTGTGCGTCTGTAGGTAAATTACTCAAAGAAAAAAAAGTTTGTCGTTTACGAATTATTGAATAAACAAGATTAGCATTGCCTAAAATAATATAAAAAAAGGCATCATTTAGTTTATTCTTTTTTTTAAGTAAAACAAAAAAAAAATTTTTGTTTTTCTACCATCAAATTGATATTGAATAAGATTATTAAATGCTTCAAGAAGAAAAAACACAAGATTATGATTATCCTGTGCGGCAAAAAGAAACCATGGAGTACTAAATGCCTATATATAAATTATAAAATTTATTATTTAAATCGATTTTTTTTTTGTCTTCTTTACTTCAAGTAAATGTATTAATTTATTACTTGATACCATGGATAAACTTTTAAGATATGGTGAAATATTAACAATAATTGTTAATAAACAATCATATAATGGTTGTAAACGTTGATTTGCTGAAACAATTAATTTATGAAAAACCTAAAAATTTGTTTTTTTGTTTTTATATTTTTTTTAATAAAGATTTTTTTTTTTTTCCTTCATACAATAATCAATAGATCAGCATGAGTTCCAGTAAATATAGGTATATTCATTGGTGCTCGTGTGACATAGGGTTTATTTAATCGTACACCGAAATTTCTTTCACCACTAAGTAAAAGTAAAATAAATATACCAATATGCATTAAACCAATTTTAGCTAAATGAAAAATTTAATTTTGTTGTTTTTTCTTTATCGTTGAAGAATACAAAATGATTATAAATTTACTTACAAGAATCCGTACGAGCATCATTAAGAAAATAAAGTATTGGTACAATTACATCAAGTATTTCACTTGATTTTAGAACATAATATAAAAATTTCTATTAAATCAATAGATTAGAACAAAAAAAAAAACAACAGAATTATTTAATATGTTTATGTAATAATCAAACCTTATTTCGATCACAAAATTTCCAAAATATAATTAATAATTCTTGATAAAATCCAATTTTTTTACAAGAACCAGGTAAATAAGTTTGAATAAGTGGATTATTTAATAATCGACAAAAACCTTTTAATAAAATGCTAAAATCCTAAAACAAAAATATTTCTTATGGTGTTTTTTTTTATGGTTATTGATGATAGTAGAAAAGAAACTCAAAACTATGATTGAAGTGGTCAGTAAAATAAATGAAATATTCAGTAAACAAAAATATATATAAATGATCAATTTATTTTATATAAAATAGCAGTAAAAGCATCTAGAGAAATTCCTACAGGATTTAAATGTGAAACACGATGTAGTTGCTGTTGCTAATCACACAGGGATTGTTTTATTCTATCTATTTTGGCGCGCATTTCTTCATCATCCTTCTCGAGAAATGCAATAAGGAAGTAGTTCATATTTTACAACTAGACAGCATTGATATACAGACTGTAATGGTCTCCGATTGGTGTCTGTGGGGAAGGCCACTGAACCGATTGAAATGATTAGATCGACAGATCTTCACTGATTAGAAAATATTTTGTAAACATCCCATTTTTCTCTGATGGGATTTGTTGAGAACAAGTTTGTTTGCTCTTATCAAAATAATTAAACGGTATTATTTTTTTAATCAAAGTTTATTTCAGTTTCTTAAAAAGCTCAATCAAAACTGTTTTTAACTTTGTCAGAAAAGACTGAATGAGATTAAATTTCATTAAAAAAAATATATATATATTGTATAACAATACAAAATTCAAATTCTAGGTGTGGGTTCGAATTAGTTTCCATTTCATTCACACTCTTATGATCATTGTGCTCAGTTTTAGTTTTATAAACAGTAAACTTTTTTTTATTGTTTGCATAATATAGCAGATAAATATTTGCTCTATGAATAGAGATATACGAGACCAACTGTAGTCCTAAGACCAGAAATACGATAAGAGAAAGTTGTTCCAATCGAAACTAAAGATTAAAGTTAAATATTCTATGATTTTCAGTGAATAATTTTATAAAACATATGAATCAAAACATTATTCAAGAGAGATAACCCAAAAAAGTGTTTCGTCATTGACGAAATAAAAACAAGTACTGACGAAATTTTTTAGAAGTAATATGAAAAAATTCTTGAATAATTTTCTCTTTGGCAAGACCAGAACCAAATTAGATCAATGAAGTCATTACTAGGACTACTGGTAAAGAAGTTAACAAGATCGGAACCAAAAGAACCTTGATTTCACGTATCTCTATTCATGATGCTTGTCTATGTTGCATCTTTAATAAGCTATTCTCCTATTTTCTGCATAGGTTCTATAATATTTTAATCTGCTGCCTTTTTGTAAGGTCTTTCGTTTCAGTTTATTATATAATAAAAGAATACCTAGATGTATGTCGTATATGGCAGCATCTGTACTACATGGCCCAAGGAAACAAAGAAAAAAAAGTGAGTCATATTCCAACACATTTCAATTCCTATGCTTACTCTTTGATTTAATTGACTATCAGCAAATAGAATTTACTAATATTTAAATTTCTTAATAAATTTAATTCATTAGTAAACTGACTGATCATTTCATCTATTTAACTGACCAAATATTTTATCGTCTCTTCCGAAAAACAAAATCTTACATCATCTCGATGAATACGCGATAAATAATTAATAAATAAATTTGAACAATCATCTCCTATTGGCGTTTTACTTGTTGGCGATGATGGAGGTTGATCTGTTGTTGTTGTTGATGATGATGAGAATGAAAAAATATCAAGTGTTACACATAATAATTGAGAAGCAACTTCGACTAGAGGTTCACGTGTATCAGTAAATAAAAGATAATTATATGGTAAATAACCAACAGGATCATAAGAAAATATAATATTTATTAATGATGTAAATAAAGGTAATGTTTGGCTAGATAAGACGAAACAAAAAAAAAACAGGTTCAACATAAAAGTTCTTATTTTATATAATAATTGATTTACCGATTATGATTGGATGTGAAATAAGTTAACCATTTATTTGGACACGATTGTAGTTCAACTAGAAAAATAATGATATTATTAAACGGATATAAAATCTGAAAGTTAGAGCCCATCACTTTGAAGATTTTTTAATTTAGGCTCAGACCCGAACCTTACTCCTAATTTCACCTAAAGTTTTTTAGTCTAAGTCCGAAATTCGCTCTAAACTCTACTGCAAACTTTCAATAAATTGATAGTTCATGAGATTAGCAAAGTTTTATGAAAAAGACAATAGTATTGAAATTTCGAACCATTAAACTGTGTTCTTTTGACATGTTTTTATAGTAACAATTTTCTGAATTTGTTACTTATTTGATAGAAGTAATTTAAAGTTTCTGCTATAAAAAAAACCTATTTAACAAAAAGAAAACTTTCATGATTATCATTCGATAGATCATCATATTATATCGATTCAGACTTTTATGCAAATAAATATTTACCCGATGGATTCATATAGATCGTTTCTGAAAAACAAGTAAGTAAAAGTTTGAGAATTTCAGTTCGATTCCTATCATTGGTTGGTGAATGTACAGGTGATTGAGAAAAACCAACACCAGCTTCCCAAATATATTCACAACTATCAATCGTATGTATATCTTCTGGATTATCCTAAAATAAAAAAACATCAAAATAATAATTTTTTTCTACTTTATGAAATTTTGCTTACCGGTCCTTTTCTCTTCTTTGAAGAAACCGTAAAATCTGGACAAAATAAAAGATCCTTAAACACAAAAAAAAAGAAAAGAACTAATCATTTGAAAACATCTTAATCGTTTTCTTTTATTTACTGCTAATATTCGAAGAAGTCGTTCAGCTAATGGTGGTTTATTCAAATATTCCTATAGATTAAAATAAATATTGTTTTACTTAAAATAAATTAAATTCTATTTTTCTTCTCACTCCATTTAATGCTGTTGGCTGTTGTGCAGGAGGAACATCAGACCAAAAAAAACCACGCCATTCCGGTTCTTCAAATATATATGGTAATAAACGAGTTAGTAATCGAATACAATTAATTGCTATAAACAGAAAAAAAACAGAGAATAAAATTTTGAGACAAATTAAAATAAAATAAAAAATTTTTTTTTCTAACCAGCTGTTTGATCTCGTTGTGTTTGACATGAATGTTCTGCAGCTAATTGTAAACGATCAACAAGTTTATTACATAATGTTGCTAAATTCGATGGTAATTCTTCTCGTAATGCTCGAATTTCTGCAGCTGGTACTAAAGTAAATATATCTTGAACATTAGAAATTTTATCCGACCAAAATTGATCCCAAAATGATTCATCCTTATATTCAAGTTGCTTTAATAACAGAAATAAATTTATTAATTTATTATTTATATTTAATCAATATATTTTACCTGACTACGAGATATTAATTGACCAACAGCTATACGAAAATCAAGTTTTGAATCGGTATTTCCCATTTTGTGATATTCAAGATACTTCTTCTTTTTTTTTTTATTGCGGTAGACAAGGTGAAATAAAATGAATGCAAAAACAAAACAACTTTTTCATTGGTTGATTATGTTCATCAATCATACAAAAATGTCAAAGGACTCTGATTACGTCAATTATAACGTATAGTATAAATTACTTAGTCATTTCACTGCTCTTTTTTTTTCTCTACAAAGAAAGTGGCGTTATGTTTTCTCTTCACATATGAGAATAATTTAATTCAAACACATTCTAAAAAGATTTATCATAAGAATAAATGCTTCTAAAATAAAGACCAAAGTTGCTAGTTGTGTATAATATGATCATAAATTGTCTTAAGAAAATAACTATAAATCAAACGAAGTTTCGACACATATAGTTAATTCAGTCGATTTTTTCTTATGAGAATAAGAAAAGCTATATGAAAAATTGTTCTAGAAAATTTTCGTAATAAAAAATGTTTTTCAAATAAAAAAATCTGTAGTAGAATATTTTGGAAAATTGTATTTTACATAGATAATAAGATTAAATAAAGTATTTATAATCTTTTATTTCTCAAATCGGTGTTAAAATCCAATATAATAGAAAAATGTGTATGTTACATATTTATATATTGAAAAAGATTGTCTTAAAATAAACCGCCTAGAAATTATAGAATATGCAAATAAAGCAGATAATATTATCTAGAATGTTAAAACAATTGAATTTCTTCAGCTTTAAATATTCTGAGTATGTTCAGAAAAATTTTTCAATGGAAACAATAGGCATATAATGAAATATTCAAAACCCCGTTAGGATGTACCGGGAGAAAGAAAAATACATAGATTAAACATAAATTTTTAAGAAGTGCAATAGATTATAACTTTTCCCTTGATAATAGTGTCCCACACGAGTACAATTCTTCATATACAGAGACAAACCAACTCGACGATCTTGACTACAATGATTCGAATGAGACCCACTTAGTTGTTAGTGACACCCTCACTTCAGCACTGAACAAGTACGAATATGTACACATACTTTTCTAGCTCTGTCCTATCTCACATTGATTGTTGTGCTAAGCGTACTAATCGTGTGTGAACGTGTATTATAAAACTGCAGATGAATCACAATTTATGTTTAATTGTGAATGCTGAACCTGTTACTTCAACTACCATTGTAAAATCGACAAACAACTGATGCCATCTTTTAGCTAAAAATTCATTTATACTTCTAAAAGAACCAATCATTACTTTTTTCTTTTTAAGTTTATCGTATATGAAGTGTTCGATTATATTTGTCCTTGTAAATTCAGTAGAAAAGATCATGAATTTTATTTATATATTTTTTCTTTTAATTCTTAGTTTTCTCTCAGGTAAATTAAAATTATTTTTATTTAGTATTTTATTATTATATATATATATATTTTTTTTTTGTTCTATTTAGTTACAAATGGACTTGAATGTTATGTATGTGAACAACAAGAAGGAAATGATGATAAATGTATAAAAACTGTTCGTATGTGTCAAAGGTATGAAGATACATGTGCAACTTTAATTCTTTATACGACACCTCATGAATGGTAAAGATTCGTAAAATAAAATTACACAAAAAAAAAAAAGAAAAATTCTATTAACTTTTAGGACACCACGTCTTGAACGTCGTCATTATATATCAAAAGGTTGTGATACACGAGATGCATGTACTCGTCGTAAGTATTTTTTTAGACAAGTAAAACAATATATTTATTATATAATTTAAAAATTAGTTCTTTATGGTTTGGCAAGTGTTTGTACACGTAATTGGTATGAAGATTGGGCATGTGTAGAATGCTGTCAAGGAGATCGATGCAATCGATATGTTGTTGTATGTATATTTTAAATTTTTTTATTTAATATTTTTTCTATTATTTTGAAATTTTGTTTTTAGCTTAGCTCAAGTAATATACGTTCATCATTAATACTTCTTCTTTCTATGACTTTTAGTACATTATTTATTCGTTTTTCAATTCTTTGAATCTCAGTATGTTACTTATCGTTATTCTTAATCATTCCATATTTGTACTGTTTTGTCAAAATTTATCATTCTTATTTTGTATTATATTTCTTTTGTATAATTTTAACATATTTGTACTCTTAAATGAAGAGTTTTTTTTTCATCACGTAGATTAAATCATATATTATATGATTCCGTGAGTTTTGAATTTTAGTAGCCAAATATAGCCGTATGAACTTTCTCAAAAAGATAAAAGTTTGTCAGATGATATGAAGAGGAAAATAGCAGAGACTTCAAGTTTAAAATCACACTACTTTTACTTTTTTTGCTAAATCTATTATGAAAAAATCTTTCTAATAAAGTATTAAAAAAAATATAAATAAAACGATCTCTCTATGATTAGCAAAAGCAGTTACATAGTGTTTCACATTTTAATCCTATAAGGATTGTGTTATTCTTATTTGAATAAACAAATGAAATGCAGTAAAATAAAAGAATAGTCATCATCTAGAAAAACTACTTTTGACTAGAAATCTGTAAAACCATCTTTTTTTTCTTGTCGAGATTTTATAATCTCCACCATTGAAGCAGAATCTATCGGATAGAAAAGCACGACAAATCTTTCCAGCCGATAAAATTAATATCAGACAAATTATTATCTATTGATTGATGGATATGTCAGAACTGAAAAGCACACAAGTTTTCTCGAGTTTCTCTAACCGATCGTTTTTAATATGCAGCGCCGCTTCAATTTATGAGTAGGTTTTTCATCCTAGTCTCGGTTTTACTTTTGAAACTCAGCAATTTTCTTTGATATTCTCTGTAATTCTTAAAAAAATATGCAGAATCTACTTGAATGCTTTCCAGTTCAAGAAATACAGGTCATTACCAATCAGTAAACTCGTCAAAATGGTGGAACTTGAAAATAAAAATCCAATGTTCTGCTCATCTCGGTTACGACCGACACTAGAAAAATTCGGACGTTTGGACCATTGATTCGACAGAAGTATTAGTGTTTCTTTTGTATGCATGTATCATAACAAAAGAATAAATGATACGAACAAATTTCTCTGAAATCAGTTTAAACAAATATAGGTACTGATCAAAACCTACCTGAAATCAGAGCCATCTTACTGTCAAACCAGTTCCGTAGGGAATCTTCTTCATCTCAATCAAAATTGTAGCAACTGGTTTTGCTTTTGAAGCCAAGAAAGTAATTTTTTTTACTATTTATATAATATAAAAAGAAAGTTCTCTATGTAGGAAACATTATAATTCCATGTTAACGAATATTTTTAATTAAGATAAATAAGCAATTTGTAAATATATAAAATTAGAGATTCAGTTAATATTTTCTTGTACCTATACAAAGTTGTTCAACGTATTGATGTTATGAGAAATATTGACAAAAAAAAATATCTTCCACTCATCAATCCGAATCAGGGGGACGTCATGTGAAGCGTATTCTGTAAGGCATTTAAGTCTCCTAATTGATGATGAACTAATGAAGTTCTAGTCTAGTATGAAAACTAGTCGTGATTTTTCATCATTATCAATAGTAGCTAGAAAAGTAAATGTCATACCAGAGACTAATGCTTTCGTGGTAAGATTATCTAGCTCAGCTGGATTGATATTTACTCGAAGAAGAATATATTTATCAACAATTTAAATTAATAATATATTATTTTTTTTCGCTCATAGAAGAAATTCAACAAAACTTATCCTTTCTCATTGTCCATAGATTTATACTGATTAATTATTGATTACATTTTTCCTGGAAAACATGAAAAAATATACTAACATAATTACACTATAATTGTTTTTGTATAAATAGTGTATCTATCATATTCAATATCGTACTTCAGATACAGATAAATTTTTTTATCTTGTTAAAAATGGAATGAAAAGATTGTCTCACAAGCTGGCTAAACTATCCTGTAAAGTTCTCTGATTTGAATCGGTTTGTTTTTATTACAATCATAGAATTGCATTATTCTTTCAAAATAATATTTCACTTCGATATATAACGCCATCTATATTACAAAATTAAAATAATCATTTTTTTATTTATTAAATTTCAAAATAATCTTATTTGAATTTGTCATTTTATTAATAATGATAAACTAATATTTAAAAGAAGGTAATGTATTTAACTTCGATTGGTTAACATGAGTTATTATTATTTATGTTTGTTCGTTTCGTTCTTTTCCCTTTCTATTTCTATGTATGACAGATGCCAGTAATTCTTCCTTTTCTTTTTCTCTTTTCTTTGATTAATCTTACAGAATAGAAAAGAAAAAAGAATTCCTAATAAATTAGTTAATCAAGTTTAATTAATTTTAGATAATGAGTTCATCATCAACACGTCCAAGTAATAATCGAACTCGTGTTAAACTTTATACATTAAATGAAGAACGACAATGGGATGATCGTGGTACTGGTTTTGTTACATGTTTATCTCCAACAACACCTAATACATGTTATTCAATTATAGTTAAATCAGAAATTGATGGTTCAACATTACTTGAATCAAAAATTCAACTTCATACAAATTATCAAAAACAACAAGTGAGCAGCTTAATTATGAATTAATATAAAAATTAGAATTGTCTTTCTTTTCTTTTTTTTTGTCTTATAGGAAACTTTAATTGTTTGGTCCGAAGGTGAAAAATATGATTTAGCATTAAGTTTTCAAGAAAAAGCTTGTTGTGATGATATATGGGAAAATATCTGTGATGTAAATATTATTGAATTTTGTTTTTTTAAACAATAAAAACATTAATATATATATATTTAGGTACAAGGAAAAGATTCATCAACATTTTTAACGAATGCAAATAATTTAACAAATGATTCAGCTATATATGAATCTGATGATGATTGTGGTGAATCAAATGAAAATTATTTGTCATCAACAATAAGTTTACCATCAGTTGAATTATCCCAATTACATGATATATGTAATTTATTTTCACCAGATAAAGTTCGTGATGCAACAAGACGAGATTTATTAGCACGTGCAGTTGAATCCGAAAATTATATTAAAAAATTACTTGATTTATTTCATATATGTGAAGATTTAGAAAATATTGATTCATTACATCAATTATATGAAATAATACGTTCAATATTTTATTTAAATAAATCAACATTATTTGAAATTTTATGTAATGATGAATATATAATGGATATAGTTGGTTGTTTAGAATATGAACCACAATTAACAATAAAAACAAAACGAAATCATAGAGAATTTTTAAATAAAAAAGCAACATTTAAAGAAGTTATACCAATTGGTAATCAAGAATTATTAGGAAAAATTCATCAAACATATAGAATACAATATATACAAGATGCTATTTTACCAACACCAAGTTTATTTGAAGAAAATTTATTATCAACAATGAATAGTTTTTTATTTTTTAATAAAGTTGAAATTGTTACATTACTTTATGTAAGAAGAATTTTTTTTATTTTTTGCTTTTTTCTAAATTTAATTAACGATTTTTTCTTTTTGATTGTTTTTTTTTTAGGAAGATCCAAAATTTCTTAGTCAATTATTTGCAACATTAAAAGATGATAATTTATTAGATGATAAACGAAAAGATCTTATGTTATTTCTTAAAGAATTTTGTGTTTTTTCACAAACATTACAACAACAAAATCGAGATAATTTCTTTCAAGTATGTAGGCAATTTATGTTTCTTAAATTTAATATTTCTTTCGTAATCAAATAGAAATTTTTTCTTATGCTAAATAATAATTTTATATTGATAAAGTTTTTAACAGATGATTTAACCAACAACTATATTTCGAAAGCTTCTATTCTAAATCTCAAATAGATTTCTCTTCATCTTAAAGATATTAATTATATGTCTCATAAAAATTCATAGTAATTAGCACATTGTCTTTACTATTAGACATACTGTAACTGTAAAAGGAAAATATTTTTGATCACAACATATAATTTGATAAAGATAACTGAAACAAATTTCTCCTCTTAGTTCATTATGTCAGGGCTTTTTGGATAATAAACCAAAAAAACAAAAGGATTCTTTTAAATAAGTTCATATGAAGTCATCCGAATAGTGACCTTAAATGTACGTAATAAGGACATAATGAGTCATGATGACATTCTCTATTTAAAACAATAAATATACTTAGAGTTTGTTTTCTATTGACATTTGATTGAACATTTTATCACAGCTTAATTAATTCGAATCAGTTTGTTGAGATCATAGAAACATATATTTATAGAAAATAACTTAATAAATAGTAGTATAATATAAGCTTTAACATGTCAACTATTTTTCCCAAAGATTTATTTAGGAAATAGCTATATTAAAAATTTCATAAATTCGTCAAAATCTTAATAGGAACTGAAATTGTTTTAGAATTTTCCCTAGAACATGATGTCATATGTATAGGCAAAAATAAAAGAATGATTGAAGATGAAAGAGGATATCACAGGAGATTGTCTTGTAAGTAGAACAAAAAGAAATATCTTGTTTTATAATTAAATTTGATTTGTTCACTGTTATAACAATATTTAATAAACCATAAATAATAAGAATAATGATTCTTCATGTCAATATGAAATATTGAGAAATTAAAAAGAATCGATCCGGAAATGTCCTATTGACCTAACTCTAAAATTAAGATCATCGTTTCAAATGATAATTTTGTCTATAGGTTTTATTTGAATGTATTTTAAACTATTTTATATAAATGAGATATATTCAAGAATATACTAACATTAGATATGTCTGTTCGGAAGTCAGTTCATTTCGTATTTCGAAATGTTTAATTTTTAAAAATTATTAGAGGTTGTACTATGATATAACGTTTTATGTAGTTTT